ACTGCTCTATCCACTGTACCACTTAACTTTCTCTAATATAGCAGCTAAGAGTGTTGGACCTGGAATCTGGAAGACTTGGATTTGAATTTATTTCATTCAACCCTGAGCAAGTTACTTATCCTCTGTCTGCCTCAGTTTCTTCACCTGTAAAATGAGGGGGTTGGACTTGGTGACCTAAGGTCTCTTCCAGTTCTAAATCTGATATTATAAAATCTTTTTTTTCCTTTTTTTCCTAGGAACAGTTACCAGTGGTTACGGTTTTCTTTTGCGAAAAATAGAAGATGCTTCAGATAATGTAAAGGAATAGAAAACTTTTGAGAGATGTGATGATTCTTTCTTAACTTTCTAAACTGTGACAAATCTGTAACATTGTTCAGCTGTGAATCTGGATTTATATGAAGTAGAGATTGAGCTATGAGCCATAGTTAGTCATCTTGAACTTGTCCAGACTGACGTAATTCTACTTTTGAACAATGTTAAATACATGCACATTTAAACTATGTACAAAGGTTATAATTACAGCAGGAAACTAGTGGGGGTGAGGGAGGTTAAGTCTGGTTGTGCTGTCATGCATTGGGAATGATTTCTTGGAAACCTATTCCATAATTTCTAGTGATGTTTGCAGTTATTCTAAGCTGCAATTTCAAGCAATAACTTTCCAATATTATGCATGAGTAGGTGGGAGGAATTGAGGAGAGAGAACTAGTACAGGACAGAGTTAAAGGGGCAGGGGTGGGGACAGGAAGCAATTGATTAATTCCTTATTTTCACTTTGAAAACCAAGAAACTGAAAAAGGAGGACCAGAAGACTAGTGGAATGTGAGGTCATTACACTGCAGAAGTATGTAGTAAGTTTCACTCAGTGAAAGGAGTAGAAGGTTGGAGTACATTCTTTGCCAATTTTTCTTTACCAACACTACATTCAGATCCATTTTCTACCAATCAGTAAAACTCAACCCTGCCTTAGGCAAAACTGTCAGCTATCATTTAAAGTAACAGCTCTTTTTGATGACCCTCCACAGAAATTTCTCCCAGTCCTTACATTTTACTTGCTTAAATTTACCCAACTAAAGAAGAGGCAGTAATAAGAGTTAACATTTAGTATTTTAAAGTTTACAAAGCACTTTACATGTGATCTCATATAAATCACATGCAAAGTGATCTCATTTGATCATAATCTATGTTGCTCTAAAATTCAAATGAACAAAATATTTTACTCCTGTCAATAAGAAATGTAAGTCATTCCTTTCAGGTAGAAAGAAAGAGAATTGTATTTTTGTAAATCAAAGAATTTGAAGGTAACATCAGACCTTAGAGATGATTCAACCCTCGAATCTAGCCTTCTTTCTTTTATATGAAGAAAATCAGGCTAACAAATATTTATTGAGTGCATAGGTACCAAGCTATTATTAGCAACTTATTTAATGTTTAACACTAGGTACTAGGACTAACTCATCCACTGGTCTCATATAAGCTTATCAATTAATTTTTTGTCAAAAATATTCTAACATTTTTTGTGGCAAAATAAACGAATAAAAGCTTGAAATTCTATTTATTTTTTAAGATAAACTTTAAGAAGCTGATTACTGTAATGTTACACACACACATCAGTTTTATTAGCCATAAAATACTATTTTAGTCAACCAAGGATAGTGACTTGGAGCATTAGTCACAGGTTTGCTATTAATTTGCCAGTTGTCATGAAGCACAACATAGCACGCTTACTGTGTTTTCATTTGTTATGTAGGATAGTAATGTTTTTAAGTATGTTTGGAGGACACACAAAAAATTTTATGCTTAAATGCAAAATAATAGCAATATGCAACTTCAACCTGTTAGTCCTCAGACTTCTGTATGGCTGAATTATCACACACAAGGATGGTTCACTATAACAGATAAATTCAGATTGGGTTTTTTTAATTCATTTATTCTACAATCCAGTGTAATCACAGCATCATAAAAATATAGAACTCAGAGTAGCCTTACAGAGCATCTAGTCCAATAGCTTTCTTTTTACACCTGAGGAAACAAAACCTAGAAAAGTGGAATAACTTACTCAAGGACACAAAATATGAACAGATTTGGGGGGGAGGGAACACACCCGTGATTCGCTGGGTATAGAAAGGAGCTTCCAGTGACGAATCTCTCCCTACTAATACAGAACAACTGTTCTGCAATTTACAGTCTCAGCAAAATGACTAGAGGAACTGAGAGGATAAGTGAGTTGCACAGGATGACCAAGCCAGTATGCTTCAGAAGTGGTACTTAAACCCAGATCTTCCTCACTTTCCCTGATGTGGGTTTTTTATCCACTATACTATGCTGTTTTTCATACTAGATACTATGTCCAGCATTTTTCCATCCTACCCTTGGCTTTATTTTTTTGGTGGGTGCAAGGAGAACTGATTGGTCTCTGGAAAGACTCTGGTTCAGAATAAATAAGGAAAACCAAGCTTAGCATAAGAAATCCAAAGATCATAGGGTCAGAAGGGACCTTAGAGGGCATAGAGTGCACTCCTCCCCTTCATTTTGCAGATAAGGAAACCGATACCCAAAAAAATTAAGTTACTTGTCCAGCATCACAAAGCTAATAAGTGTCTGAGGGAGGCTTTGACCCTAGGCTAGGTCTTCCTGACTCCAAGTCCAGCACCTCTATTTACTATCCACCTCTACATTGTCCCAACTATTCAGACCAGTAGGGATGCAATAGAAGAAGGACAAGGGAGGAAGGTGGTATTGATATACCCAAAAGCACTTACTATATCTAAAAAATGCCTAAAAGCACTTAATATATCTAATAATAGGAGCAGGTATAGGCAACTGACTAGCCTGATGCCCTCAGACAATCTTGCATCGTTGTAAGGGGAAGGACAAATAGAAAACTTTTAAAGCTTCCCAAAGTTGAGTGGTTGGTTTGCAGTCTGGTCAGTTACAGGCTGGTGGTCAAAGAGCTAACTTACATCGATTTTGCAGTTGTGACCACGTAGTTATAGCGTGAGCTGAGGGCTAACGAAGGAGAAGGGTGATAGAGAAAATGGAAAGAGGATGATCAACATCTAGTACAGTTGAGAATGAGGGAGAAAAAAATTCGGCAGTTCATTAAGAACCCAGTGTACTAGTTTTCTTTACATCCTCGGGATTAACCAATTAGTTTTCCTAGTAACACTGAAATTGGTGCCTCTCCTCTAATAAGGGCTTGATTCTGAAACCAAGCTAGTAATGATAGACACCTGTTAGCAAACTGTAATAATTCTCACCTGCTTTAGAAAGGAAGCTATAAGCTTGTCAGGTATTCGAAGCCAGAAAACAGATCGATTCTTTTGTGTTATATGAAATGGAACTTTTTTCCCCCCCAATGTTGACAAAGAGCTAATCTATTATGTGAAATGTCTTCTGGCACAGTGCGTGGGTGGGGACCAAGAGGGAGTTTTGGCTGGGAAGGAACGGAGGTGATGCTATTGAAAACAATGGCACCAGAGAAATAAGTAAATGGAGTGTGCAACAGTGACTCGTCCGCTGATATTTTTTTTTCCTCCTTAAAGGCACTTAGTAACTTCAGTCGCCTTTCATTGTACAGTGTTGCCTTTATACACTTCTGAGAGAGTGCTTTGAAAGTTCCTATAACCCGGGCTGAATTAGGCAATCATACACTCATTTATATATGGCATGACTTCCCAGTCCTTCCCAACACTGGCATTTCTGATTTTTTTTTTAATTTTTAATGCTTTTGAGAGATAAAATTTCTAGTACCATTCGATTTGTATAGTGTGGTCCTTCCTCTTTATGGCAGAAGGGGGAGTCAGACCCTCTCTTGTCCTCTCCGGTATCTTACTCACTCCCACTTACTCCGCCCCCAACCAGACCTACTTTCTAACCTCATCTTTTATTTTAAATCAGCGGAATGATAGGAACCCTACTCTTCCTGCCTACAACATATTTTTAATAACTCCCTACCCTGATTTCTTTGGAGAGTGGCAGGATCAATTCATCTCGTGCTTCTGCGTTCGTGGAAGAATATCACTCTTCTGTAGCGCCGGCCACAGTAGTAAGCCCTGGGCTGCACAATATTGGAGGAATGTCGGGTTGGGGAGGATGAGCTGGGGGAGATAGAGATGGGGACTGAAACCTGAGTCCTTTTTGTGGACCACAAGGGTTCCTACTGGTTATCTGGAATCCAGATTTCGGGAATTTTACTTTGGGGAGAGTAAATCTTTCTAAGAGAAACAGGGCTCGAAGCAGAGCCTGGAAAAGCTAGTACCTCAAAGGACCCCCCAAAACATCCTTATCCGAGGCTTCTCTAGAAACAAGGGAATGGGGCATTTTAACTGAACAGAGGATGCTGTTATTATTCTCCCATGCTGTGTATACACACACACACACACACACACACACACACACTTAGTAACAGTTTGCTTTGTTATTATGATAAACCTAGCCAGAGGTTTTTCTTATACTGTGGGTCAAGGTCATTTGCCCAGGGATGGTCAGCCTGTACAGCGCCTTTTCTGCTACAGGCCGGCCTTCGGAGAGACAGACGGACAAAAGTGCCAAAGTGACAAACTACCCTGGGATTTTCTCCCACCCCACAGGAGTGAGCAAAATCCCCGGGATAATGTCATCCTCCCGTACGCTACACCCAGCTCTTACAGTAAGAGGGTTTCCCGGTCTCCCACACCTTCCGGTTTGGAAGCATTTGCCCCTTCCTCCTTTCCCTATCCATACCACTCGCGCAACACCCACTTGGTTTCCTTAGTCTCACCCCGCCCTAGGGTTGGGAGAGGCCAAGAGGAGAAAGAGGGGGAGGGTGGGGGAACCGGAGAAGGAGGCGGCATCGAAGGGCGTGGCCTCGGAGTCCCCGCGCCCCCTCAGGGGGCTGCGCACGGCTGCCCGAGCCTCGCTCTGAGGGACAGGTATCGTTTAGGCGCCATGTTGTGAGCGGAAGTGGGGGAGCGAGTGGCGGCGGCGGCGGCGGCGGTGGCGGCGGCGGCGGGGGCACAGGGAGAGGGAGCGGGGCTGGGAGGAGGAGCACAGGCGGCGGCGGCAGCGTTAGAAGGAGGAGGAGGAGGAGGAAAAGAAGAAGAAGAAGAAGGCGAGATCCCCACCGACGGCGGCCGCAGCCACCGTCTCGCCGCCCGCCGGTGCGGGCGCCTCGCCGAGAGAGTGCGGCGTTTCGGGGGGGTGTCGGCCCCCGTGCCTCCCCCCCCGGGGTCCCGCGGCCGCCGCGCGCCGGGGCTCTGGGGCTCAGGCGGAGGAGCAGGATTCCCCGAGAAGGAGGAGGCGGGAGAGGAGGAGGAGACGGTGCCGGTGGCTGCGGGTCAGGGGGGAAGATGCCGCTGGCGCAGCTGGCGGACCCGTGGCAGAAGATGGCTGTGGAGAACGCGAGCGACAGCGCCGAAGTGAGTGAGGGGCTGCCCCGGGGCGGGGAAGCCCGTCCGCCTCCCGGCCTCTTCCCCTTTCCCTCTCCTCCTGCCGGCGCCTCCGGCCCCTTCCCTTTCCTCCCTCCCCCGAGTGCCCACAGAGTCGTTCTTCCTTCCTCTCTGGTCCGAGATTCCGGGTTGGTTACTTGTTTTGTGGGTGTGTGTGTGCTGTATGTGTGAGTGTGTGTATGTGTTAATTTCTCCCCACGCACACACTCTGCTCACCTCATTTTAGGATGGGATGGGTATTTTTGTTTTAAGTGTCTGTGTAGGGGTTTTTTTTGGGGGGGGAGGTGTCTATTTCCATCCTAGGGTTTAAAGATAATGGGGTGGGGGCTGCGTTTTAATCCATTCAGTGGTTGGATGGGGGAAGAAGGAGACTGAGTCTGGAGTTGGGAAGTTTGACCCTGGCTGGATTCTCGGAGCTCCTCGGGACCCTCTGGGTTCATCGCCGGAGTTGGGGGTTTTGGGGGGGTAGGGGGGAGTTAGTGGCCGCGTGTGACTCGTAGGAAAGAGGGCTGCTTGCCGAGGGACGCAACTGCTCCGATGTCCCCACGGCTTTGTGCCAGATGCCGGGGGAAGCTGCTGAAAGGATTTTCGCCTCCTGCCGCAATGGTGACTTCTGCTGCAAAGGAGAAAGTTGACTCTTAAGGTCTCTTCTACTTTTTTCGGCTACCCCGCCCCCACTCCCTTGCATCAGTTTCTCCGATCTTTGACCTAGAGTTCCCTGGCCCTTTGAGCTTAACGAGTTTCCTGTCGCTTTGGGGTGGGGAGAGGGCTGGGCAGTGGTGGAGATAAGAATATTTGTAGAGAAACTGCATCTTCGTGAAGTACATTCTGGTTTCCTACCACAGGGATCCAGTGACCGTCATTCAGTTTCCCTGTGCATGCACTTTTTGGTCCCTGCCCTTGTCCAGAGCGTAGTACTTAACGTTTTTCACCCGGTTGCTGTAGCTGTCCCGGGATCAACTCTGCGGTAGCAAAAATATTATCCAAACGGGACGAGTTCTCTTCTGAGTGAAATGATTCCGAGTTCCGGGTAGTGGTGCATCATTATTCATTCCCGCTTTGCTTCTGCTGCTTCTCTGGTCTTTTCTACACGCTGCTGACTTTGGGAGATTATAGGATTGTGCATGTGTAGTTGTTACTGACTGACCCCATTTCTAGAAAGCATGACTGAAATGCGGGGGTGGAGTGGGGTAGGGTATAGTGTAGTGATGTGCTTGGTGTAACAGCAGCTTCGGTCAATGCCGGTCTCCGCAGTAAGAGGGACATATTGGGTTACAGTTTACGTCAGGGTGACCGTGGTTGAATTTAATACCGAACGGGACATTTGTATTCTCCAGTTTGTGAAGGAGGGAGGGGGAGAGATGCTGACATAATTTCAGGGTTTTTTCTCCCAGTTATTTCCACTGCCATAAAATGTTGTTTGCACACTTCTTGTTAAAAAAAAAAAACCAAATCTTATAAGTTTTAATAATACTGATTTTGGATATACTTTATGACTTGAATCATGCTTTTTAAAAAAAATCTCATTTAAATGCTACTTTTGAAAAGAGAACACAGTGCCCTCAACTTAGAAAAGAGAAATCTTGAGTACTGGCTACGGTACTAATCTTAAATAGAATTTATGTAGTATTAGTGATTTTGCCAGTGTTTTAATATGCTATCACTTAAGGATATCAGATTTAAAATGCTTTGTTCTTTAACAAGTATTATGAAAAATATAACTTTAATTCAGTCCATGTATGATCCAGATGTGACCATTTCAACTCATAAAATCTTCATTTAAAAATTCCAAATATGTGTTTAATGTCAATTTTATCCTATTTCTGGTAAACTCTTGGTGGAGATTTGGAATTCTTTAGAAATTCAGAAATCTTGCCTGTTTTCATGAAGGGTTTATATGAAAATTAGTTAAAATGTTAAATCAGTTGATTTACTTTAGTTATTGCCATGTTTTCTAAAACCAGCACATAGGATCTTGCCTTATCACTTTAAAATATTTTTTTCCTTGAAATTCTTACATAAGCTTTAAATATGAGAGGTTGGGCTTCAAATGTTTAATCTCATAAATTCTCAGAAGTTAAAAACTAGGTCGGCGATTCACTATTTAGATTAGAGCATGATATATAGTCTAGAGACCTTTAGGAAAGACCATCAGGGTTTGAATCCCACCCCTACAGCTTTAGACCACTTGACCTCTTTAAACTTGAGTTTCTTCATTTAAAAAATGTATATAATAAGCTATTTTACCTAACTCACAGAGTTTGTAACCAAAAACCACTATATAAATATCAGCTGTTATTATTAAAGTGTGGTGGTTTTCTTTATGGTAAAACCAAATGCTTAATTTGCCATTGGGGTTTTTTTTGTTTTCATCTGGACATCCTATGATTTTCAGGTGTATTTATTCTGATACAAATTTGGACTCTTGAGTATGGATGCAAGGATTTTCATCCAGCTTGAGTGTTTTTCTCCTTGTACCCCTAAGCATTCATATTGGAGAATAAAGGACCAAATGTTAACAAGCTTTTTATTTTTTTTGTCACACACACACACACACACACACACAACCCCCCCCCCCCAAACTGTGCTCCGTGTTTAACAAATGTTGTTTGGAATGGGTAAACATTTATACATCGAAGCTACAACAACAAAATGCAGTCTTTTTTTAAACCCAGAGAAAGTTTTCATTATTTAGTCCAGCATATGTTAATTCCTACCTGGGACACCCAGTGGTATTTTGGCTGGAGACAAAGTATGTTTATTGTTAAAGCTTTCACGAGTCAAACTTGGGAACATAAAAAAAGTGCTATTTAACATAAATGAGTAGAAAATAAGAATAAGTACATGCTGAAAAAAATAATTTCTGAAATGTTTTAGAGTGGTTAGACATGGCAGATTCATGGGATTATTATATGAAATGAACTTAGTGTGTTTGGAGAATACATCTCTTTGAGGATTCAAGAATAGCCAGATTCTTCCATAAGCAAATCTGTAGATAGGAGATCTCTCCAGTGTACTGGAACCCTTTCTCTAGGTCTTTTTACATTTCATAGATACCAGTACAGGTAGGGTATAGTGTAGTGATGTGGTTGGTGTTTGTTATGCTTCATTTTCAATATATGAGTGCCCTAGACCAGTTTTTTCTTGATAGATGCATTTACTCCCTAATAGCCGTTAGCTCACTTCTTGCACTTAGATCATCATTGGAAATATGTTGCAGCCTCTTTGCAGCCATTGTATACCTCTTCAGTAATATATCTTTTGCCGTAAGGAAGCAAACAAACAACAAACATTTATTTAGCACCTACTAGGCACTGGGTATACAAAGGCAAAAATGAAGTGAATGAACACTGCCCTCAAGGAACTTATATTCCATTGGGTGAAAGAATGTAAACTCAGAAAACGAAATATAAAACATGTTCAAAAGGGTGGCACCTGAACTTAACTTGGAAAGATAGGCTTGAACCATATAATGAAGGTCTTTAAATAACAAAAGAGTTTATATTTTATCCTAGAGGAAAAAGGGATCTACTGTAGTTTCTTTAAGCAAATATGCTTTAAAACTACCAGTTTGGCAGCTGAGGGTGCATTGGCAAGACCAGTTAGAAGGGGCTGGTGCTGTAGTCCAGGAGAGGGGAGATGAGGGCCTGAACTAGACTGGTGGCTTTGTGAGTGTGGAGGAGATAATGTGAAATATATTGTAGAGGTAGAAGGAAAAAAGAAAACCAAGTATTTATTAAGTGTTTACTGTGTGTATGGCTAAGCACTGAGAATATAAATATAAACAAAAAGAAAGATGATCTTTTCCCCCTAGGGAGTTTATGTTCTAATTGGGTAATACAATCCACAGAAGGGAACTAAAGGGTGAAGGCTGGGGTTTGAAGTCCAAAAATTTGCAGTTGGTCCAGGAGGGAAATGAAGGTTTACCTGGCCATTGCACAAAATGGAGGCCCCAGTAGAAATTCACCAGTGGGAGAATGGAACAAGCCTTCAAGAAAGACCCTGTGATTGTTAAATGTTCCAAGGAAAAGAGGTGATAGTAGCCCAGGGAAGTACCTGGATGAGGCAGCAGCAGACACAGGGTTTTTAACATCAAGAATTCAAGAACAGGACCTGGAGGGGAATTTGACAAACCTTGGCAACTGACTGGATATGAAGGCTGAAGGAAGAAAAAAGTTGAGGATAACTTCTTGTAAATCTAAGTAATTTGAAAGATGGTGATGCCCTAAACAGAAACAGGGAAGTTTAGGAAGAATAATGGGTTTGGGAAGGTAATGATTTTTTGGAGGTTGAGGGGATACATTATATGGAGAATATGTTTAAAACATGAAAAATACTTGAGCTAGAGATCAACTTGGAATTATTGGAAGAACTGTACATTTCTTAAATGTAATCCAATCTCATCCTATTCAATTCTGAGCCAAGCTCATTGGCCATCTGCATTGCTTATCTCAAATGTGTGTACTGATATGCTAACTCAAAGAACTGATTTTCCAAGTGAACTTGTAAGCAGTTTCCATCTAGTTAGTTTTTTCTGTATGAATTGTTGGTCATGCCAGTTTTGAATTATTTTGGCTGTCATTGAGGGAGGCCCTGTGATGACATAGGGCTTAATGCAATTAACACAATGTCATTTGCAGACGGGAAGATCTGGAGGACCTCACTATCTTTCCCAAAATTTCAGTCTCCATATCTCTTTGCTTTTTGGAAAACCTACCCATGTCCCCTGTTTAATGTGAAAAGGTATCAGTTCTGGAGTTTACTGTACATATTCACATAATGTACAAAAATTTTTCATATACAGTGTATGAAAAATGTACAAAAAATTTTCATATAAAGGATTTTATTAGGTACAGAACAATTTTTTTTAGGATCATAAAGTTGTTATATGTTAGAGTAGTCTAATTAATGAGGTCTTTGATTCTGTTTTTTGTCAACCACTTCTGGGTATAGTTTTTGAAGAGGTGTAG